AGCGCTAGTATTATGCTCCACAAGAATAATATATCAGGACACTATGATTTCTGATGACAACATTAGAAAACAGTCTTTACCCCCTCCTTCTCGAATGTTACTCGTAGTAAACCCCACATCGACAACCGTCGCGGTAGATCCCTCCATTCAGACAGTAAATCTAACGCACTGAGTGCGGGGCACTCTATCTTAGTTTAAATCTCCCTCCAGTACCCCAAATCTGGTATTCTGACTCATTCCGTTGGCGATGCACTTTAGCTTCCTCGCATTCGCTTGACCTGCACCAAGAAAACCTTAACTAACTATGCTCGGAGAAATGCGCCAATAACCTCTACTAAAATATAAGGTCAATGCCATTCTCACGGTCCTCAGTAAGAGTAAACTGCGAGAATGGACGTTCCACTCGTGCCACGAGTTCTTCATCCACAAAATCTAGGCGTTCGAAAGGAGCGAATGAGACCATATTACACTGCTGTTCGACACATAAGATCATGTCTCAAATATTTCAAGTAGAGAACTACGCTGAGGTATTCAGTCTCGATTCATCGCAACCCGAGACGGGTGACATCATGACATATCCATAGACTGAAAGGTAAAACTCGGACAGGTATCGATAACACGAATAATATCTCAGACGGATGAGGATTTCGTGGCCACTTCAGCTTGAGAAAGTTTGTCTGCAGACAAACAAGTAGCTCGCCACAGCAGCAATAGCAGACATATATCAACTCGCTGTGGAGCGGCCTCACATCAGCCTGTCCACCAGACAACGAGATAGCGTGGTTCAACTGCCTTCAAACGCCGATTACGCGTTCATGGCGGTTCTTTAATAAATTCAGCTCAAACCGTCGAGATAGACACTTCTGCTATTAATAAGGAGTGATACAAACAAAATGCTTTATTAGCTCCATCAGCTTCAGATTAATCGCCTCATCATCTACGGGGCCATCGAGATGAGGCTTCCGGCAATAAGTGCCGTTAGCCCAATGCCGTACGCAATTCCGACAGCTTTCATGATGTTGCGCGTCTTGGACGGGTTCTTGACGATCTCCTCCGTAACACTCTCCGTGATCTTTGCGGCCTGCTTCTCGTCAACGTTTTTTAGTTGTCCTGCCGCCTTCAGCTTGGTAAAATCGCCTTTAAACTTGGCCGAAGCTGTATCCAGGGGCTTAAACTTCGCCCCAGCTTCGATCTTGACAATGGCCTTCTCCAAGTTCTTTGTCGAATCACTCGCAAGTTTTTCTGCTCCTCGAAGCTTGTTCGTGTTCTTTGCAGAAGTGACTGCAAGCTGACCAGCTTCTTTATACTTGACGATGGCATTTTCGTTTGTTGCCGCAGTGCTCAATCCTTTAAATTTGTCCGGGTTCGCTTTTATCTTCGCAAAAGCACCTTTCCACATCTCGTCGAATCCCTTGATTGTAACTTCTTCCTTCGCGCAGGTGAACTCGAAGAAGCTCACGGCGAGAGCGACCACCGTCAATACGAGGAAAAGGCTGAAGCGCATCGATGGTGGCTGAAGTCGACGATTGCGGTCTTGGAGAGATTTGGAAATGGAAAAGTCGTTGCGTGATTTGGGTGAAGAGTCTGTTTCTAGTATGGAGCATGTACATGACATGTACATGCAATTCTACAGGTGCTAGACCGCATACATTGTATGCGTTCTAGCACCTGTGGAATTGCGAGTGATTCCGAAATTGTACATAAATACTTACGTGAAAACTTCCAGGATTTGCCGAAACTGGGTATTTCCAACTGGTCCACGCGATCGACGTTGACACTGTGTAGTGCTCCCCGTCGCGGTGTCTTGTTCAATATTATAGAGGCTATTATTATTTACCAGACGGATTAGCGTCATAGATGGATAGTAATGTAACGAATTTAAAAGAGTATCAGGAGATAGAGGGTCCGGCTAAGGAATGATGCGAAACGACGTCATCATTGACATTGGACATTCCGTAATCTACATTGCAATACGTACACTGCATTAAATACCACCTAATACATTATGTACGTGACCTAAGAAAATAACTGCAGGATTTCACATTTCTCGTAGCGTCGTGCCGTAAATCAAAGTCACGATGACAACGAAAACTTATATATTCCGCTCATCTGGGCTTAATGTCTACCCATGTAGTCCACTTAGACTCAATTTTCGCTAAATCAACGCGAGCTTTAGCGCAATAGTGTATTGGTGTATGTATGCTACCCCTGCCGGGGTGTTCCTACAGTTTTGGAATAAAGGCGCTACATTCTTGCCCGGGAGTGTTGAGTACTGTGTTGCTATCTTGGAATTGTGAGCTGTATGTACTGTATCCATTATGTAAGGCAACAGACAGCATTCGAAACCCGTTCTCTCATAGCAGAATTACAGTACAAGGTTTTAACCACACTTGGCTCGCGAACCAGGCAGTGTCAGCTACTGTTGAAGCTATCCCTCTCAGTGCTCTAACTAGAAAATTCTGACAGCGCCGATATCTGCGTATTCGTGCTGATCATTTTCTTTCACCAGCACGATGTTTTTCCCATCAGTTATAGGCTATAACACGAGGCACGTGCCGGCGCAGCTTCCAGCAGATAGTACGGAGCCAGCCGATCAGCAGCTGATCGGCTGGGGTGCCACCCCGTCAATACGACCAGGATTCAAAAATAAAGTCTCTGTGTACAGAAAATGGGCTCACTGCCTGCATGAGTTTTCAGAGACGCCTTTAGAAAAGCATGGTTTCACTATTCATTTATTTTTATCACTCGCACAGTCGGCAAACTGGACCATAAGTTTCAAAACTCGCGTTGAATCAGTACGAGACTCTGCGGACCAGACCAGACTGGTCACCAGGCGCTGCATATACAAACGGCCCTATGGTTCACGATATGCGAGCGTCTCTGATAGCTTCGCTATCTGTGAACTCTCTAAATTGTTTGGCCGTGAGGGATTACCAGATGAAACCACTCACGACATTCTAGCTTCAAAGCAGCACGAGAAATCTACCAAACCTACGGTTATCAGAACCTTCCGGTGTGATAATCTGACGCGGCATCTTCAGTCGCAACACCCTCAACTCTAGAGTGAATATTACACAATCCCGCACGTCGATAACCTTCGGACAAATGACTTCGTTCAGAAAGTCTTAACCAGCTTTCCAATTTCGCGTATTATACTGAAAGCCGTCTTCAGCGTGCTCAAATGCACGAAATGCAAATTGAGAACACAACTGTCCGACTTTGCATTACATTTTGTATTAGGTGAACTCCACGCAGTACGTTCATTGCTCACTGAATGACTTCATTTAACTCTGGTCAATGCCATTGCCTTTTTCAAAGTTTTCAAACGGCCTTTATTTACCTTCTCGCATAAATGACTGAATTTTAGAACCCTGCATGCTATATATTCTGCCTATTAATACACTCTCCTTGTTGACACATAATCCAAAATATCGGATGAGAGAAAAAGGGAAAATGGTATTGCCAACTGCGACTGGGCATGTGTGTAATGATTGTGAGGGTGCTACCAGCACCGGACTAGGATCGCACCTGTCCCTCGATCAAGTAACTCGATCTCGACTTGCGAGCTTGATTCGAGTTCGCAAGTCAATCGCCACTTTTTTGTGTGCCCTTGCTGGTGTTCCCAAAAATTGGTATATTAAACCTCTACGTCCCCAACTATTTGGAAACGTCGACAATACTATAATAACCCTTTTGTACAGGTATATTACGATATATACAAGACACTGTGTCACCACCTTCACAGTCCAGAGGTAAAGAGGACAGATACGATTTCTATCTTTAGGGTTTGCTCCGTTGTGCGTCCTAAATGCACTCGCAACGCTCCAGCGAAAAAAGATTCTCTCACCTGGAGAGTGCAGCACTCGGCTCGCGGTGGAGCTCGGCACTGGACCCACCTCCACAAATATCGCACCACCCAGCCTCGCTGGCAGCTTGCGCGGGTTCGCTGCGGCTACCCCGCTTACCGGATTCCATGCGTGTCCTGCAACCGGCGTAATACTACTAGTATTACACTAGTAACCCATAGCATCAAATCTCACAAAATAGCCAATCGTATCGCTTTGAACTATATTTTGTGCAAGCATGTCCATGCTATGGAATGTTTGCATCTACGATTAGCCAAGGAAGCACTGCTGGTAATCCTCAGCACATTTTTTTTACGAATGTAAATCTTACAGATTCACTATTGGCGGAGTTCTAACATCGGTTGCAGGAAATGCATGGAATCCGGTACCTCCGTTGGCCTTCTCCTTTGATTTGCGGTCTATTTCACCCCTTCCATCTCACTTGGGCGCGGCAGCCACTTCCTTTTTTTTCTTTGTTTTACGAATCCCCGGCATTACCAGGTTCGATTTTACTCCTACAACTATATGGGTACTGTATCTCGTCAGGTGCCCATAGATCGATCAACTTTTATCATTTAAAGGTGCTGTTGAACACAAGATGGAACAAACTTAAAACATAGCTAGGATGTGCTGACGCTAGTGTTTTTTTTTTTCTCTCGCATTATAGACAAGCTCTCATACAAAGACATCTTTGAAAATGAGATTTTTCAAAGAGCACACAACTTACGGTTACCATTGGTCCAAATTCGGTCCATAATGCAAAAAAAAAAAAAAAAACAGGAGAAATTTGGTTTGATAAGCGATAGGAAGGATGCACGGGTGTAGACTTATTTAGTATGGCGTAGTCAATCTGGAAGCTAGTAGGCGCTTTTCCAATTGACAACCGCGGCCTCAAACATCAGGGTGTTGACGTAATAATGAAAAGCTACATATTGATCAAGGATCAGAGGAATGACAACCTACACAAAGAAAGTATTATCACAGTTTGAAAAAAGCGCATTCGCGTCGATTTATGCTGGCTAAAACGCAAAATATCTCCCTAACCACGCCTACATATGCCCACAATCCACTCTTGCGAACATACCCACCCTATCTGATACCTACGCCCTAGAATACTTGAAGAGCGTTTTCTAATGTGTCGTGCGACGACTGCGCACACCCACGTTAGCTGCTGTGCCTGCCTAACGCTCAACCCTCGCCGCTGTCTGCCAGGTTGTCGGCAAAATACGAAACATAAGCGCATTTGCCGCGTACATACTGGTACTTAAAAACAGTAAACACTCGCATTTACTAATTTCACCGTAGCTACAGTTTGGTAACAGGGTCCCGTCTTGTACGTCTGAGAAACTCAGACCAGATTTGTTAGGAGAACTTCTTCCGAAGAAGTGAAGCATTGGTCCGCAACTAATTCTTGCCAAGTATAGTGCATTTTACTGTATTTGTTGAGGTTGTGCACTGATCGTTAATTATGATGTGGCAGTTGGTACTTACAGTAGCTATGTGACAAAACTAACAGAGAAACAGGGAGAAAGAATTCATTCTTGAAATTCATCGAGTGACCAACAAGTGACTTCTTCGTCTTCTTCTTGTCGAGAAGAGCCATTGCTCTTCTGGTTATGAGCCCAACGCTCTCGCTGTTGAAGCACTACAACTAAGAAGCGATGGCTGAAGCAAAGAAAGAAGTGAAGGAGTCGAAGCACGAGACGAAGGCCATCCCGCTGTTCGAAGGCACTGACTTCGAGATGTGGCAAGAGCGAGTCAAACTGAAGTTGATGCGCAAAATAACTTTGGAAATACTGCGTCGAAGATGTCAAAGAACCATCAGAGAAGAATAAGGAATCGGAGCACAACGACTGGGTGATCAAGACGGCTCGAACCAAGGAGATCCTGTACGAGTCCATG